GATTTAAATTAATGCATTAAGTGCACACTCAAAACTAATTGTATAACGCTCTTCTAAGCACTCGCAAGTTTTAACAGTTACCACAACGTTGAGCGCACGGGGTTGTAGAGTAATTGACACCATCCGCATCCATATAATACCGGATACCTGGAAATTGTTTCGCGTATAAAGGTCTCGCCTTACAAATCCTCACTTTATACAGAGTTCGTAACAGGAAACTTCATTCTACGGCAATAGCTAATTAGCTAATTTACAACCGACACTATTCTCTGCCGGCATTCTACATTGCACTTGATTCCCCAAACTATTTTAGTGCAGACGAAATTCGGTTGCATAGAGAAGCGAATTAATGCGATTAAACCCACCCTAATTGTATAGGATGTTGTTGAATAATTAATTGATTTGTTGTAAACAAATTTATCATTTCGTACACTTGCACGTTTCGCAAATATTTAAAAATATTCCGGGCGATCCGGAATAACAGGAAAGTTCGGAGCCTTATGTGCATACACAAGGTTTTGCCGAAAGGGTTGGCATAGAGCAGTCGCCGGTTTCCGCTCGTTCTGTTTAAAGGAACAAGCGGTTAACGGTTAACCTAGGCTTGCGACAACCGTAATATATTGGACCGGAATTTCGACGAATAGTTCGTAATTTATTGAATAAATACAGGCGCTCGCTGCCACGAGATACGACAATACGATAATTTGCTGTTGGCTCTTTCAACGTATAAACTCTCGCTGAAGCAAAGGAATTAAGCAGTCGTACGGAACATGAAGTGCCGGATCCCAAATTGCTTTCTTAACCTCAACGTATTTCTTTACGTTAAATTTAATGCTGGAGTTATACAGTAAAGGCTAGAGGGTGGATGGTAAACAGTAGATGGTAAAGGTCAGAGAAAAGAGGGTAGAGAGTAGGGTCACATAGGGTGGGAAATTGCATTGAATAAAGGATTAGTAGAACATGCAGGTATCAAAATTTTTGTTTGCGAAATTTTGGTATCGGATTGTCATTGGTAAATAAATCTCCGTATGTAACTTCAAGTATAATAAACAATGGGATAAGCTGTTGTTGCCTTTTCAATTCTTTTTTTACGACGTTATTTAGAATCGCGATCGAGCGGATTTTTCAGCGACGTCTAAGTCTAATTGAAATATGTGCGACAAGGTAGATTTGTGCGCTGGAGTTCCCATTGTCATAAATAGGAAGCTGCGGCACGGAAAGTGGCTTATTTTGTAACCATCCCGATGTTTGTCGCGCGTGTAAATCACAATTTGAAATAACATGTGGCGTTTACACGTATTTCGGGATAAATCACGGAAAAATGCGTTCTGATGTGATGTCGTCGTGAAATATTGCTTTTTTCGAATTGCGCGGCTTTGACAAATTGAGTGCCAAATTATATGAATAGGTTCGATGGGCGCCCGTCAGCGGCCATTGGTGCAATCATTGTTGTTTATTGTTGATTTCTTTTTACATAATTTTCGATCGGTAATAATTTTCGGCGTTTATCGTTTTGTCGGGTTTTTAACTGCCTTGACACCTCGTCATTAACGAAGAATATCGAATATTAATCATTTTTATTTTCGGTTGTTGCAAACCCGAACCGGCGTTGCGAATGTTGCATTAAAATGGCGCATTGCATTTGACTGCGATATTTCACAGGAATTGTTGATTTGCCAATTTGTTTTGATAAAATAAACTTCATGGCAAATATTATTTTTTCGCTATGAAAATTGTTCATTATTAAATGTTTGTTTTTTGAGTTATTGCCACGCGAAAATTGTAACATGATGGTGTTGTTTTATCTCATTTACCAACCCATTGTATAATACCTAAGTGTCGGATAAGGAAATTATAAATTACCTAAATTTGTAACGCCACTCCTTTGCACACAAGCTAACTTATTAGGATTATTATATTCAAGATACTTTCCTTACAAGTGTAATAATATTAATATGTCAAATCTGTTATTGTGGTAGCTTAGAAGTATTACAAACAATACCCTATAGCACCTCTCATTTATCTAAAAAGTATTAAATTTACTCAAAAAAAGTGGTAAATAATAGACTATTTAACTCATTTAGTAGATCTTGAAGATAAATGGTTTTCTTATCAATAACAATGCATAAATTGCCTATCTACTAAATAAATTTAACCAATCCATTTCAGTCGAGAATTGTGTTAATTTCGAACGAACTGCACTCTTTGTAAATAATGGTCATTTTACGAAAACAATTTCAAAAAGATCTCCCGGATGCTCCGGAGAAAAATACTGAGCCGTTAATCTTTTCGTTTTAAAGAAAGTGTTCCGGCATTCATAATTCGCGAACGAAAACTATAAAAACATAAAGTCCTCCTGATGTTCTGAATAAAAATGAACCGTTATGGAAACACAAAACAGACATATTTTACGACCTCAGCGCACCGCCGATAAAACTTTTCTACAAATGGGAAAACTTGTTTCTAATTCGATAATGTCGCCCTGAAATATAAACCGTCCCGCCGACTCTTTATGAATCATAAAGACGGCGAATTTTTCGTACACTAATTTACCAGAAACCCTCGTAAAATCCACCCCCATAAACGCACAATTATATTCACCCGTAAATAGAATATTATTTTTAGCCGAATCAAAGTTCACCTGTCAAAGATAATTATCTCGTAATTTTAACCATTACACCGCTATATTTAGAAGTCGCGATCGGGAAGGAGTAAATTATAGGCGTAATTAGGTGAGTAGTAACGTTCCGTGAAGACCACAGATGCGTTCGCTTCGAGAAATGCACCACTTCTTTTTTCAAATAACGTCGAGACCCATCAGACTTCATTACATAACATTTGTAACGGTGCAAAATACGCCTTTAAACCAGTGTGTTGCAAGTATTTACTTAGTAAAAGTAGGGAGAATCGAGGATTTGATGCTCTAAAATGCTTGGTTATGTGCTTTACAGTTTAGAGTAATAGCCATGCAGGTGTTCATATATCATAATAAATTCAGTAGATATACATATTTACCGAATAACCAAGAAAATATTTCGATTAACAAAGTACGCACGTCGGACGTGTTCGATACACAATTACATAAAGCAAACGGGCGCAAATCCCGCATAGAAAAAATTTATATAGAGCCCGTTATTAACGCGAAATCGAAACGTGATCCGTAACCAATTATTTAGACAAATTCGCATGAACACAAAATAACAACGCGAATAAAATTCCCGTCAAAAAACAGATTCGCGCCGGCCTGTTTTCGACCGGCTCTTTCATTTATTTTGCATTATTTAGGGTCACTGAATAAAACATCCAACAAAATGTTTCGGGGATTCGGCCGCACTCCTTGCGCCCGTTTTGCATATACGGCGATTAATAAAATTAATTTCGTAAAAAGCGAATCTGTTACGAGGGGGACGCGAATATAATGAAATTAATCACCGAATGTCCCGACGTTGATTGCCGGGGAAATTCAAGGGAAAGTCCTATATAGCTATTTTGTGATATCAACATTCGCTATAGCGAATACTATAGTAGGTCTATACTTAATGCTCAAAGAATGGATAAAGTTTTTTAAGTTACTTTGCAAAGCGACCTTTATACAGGGGGTCTTCACCAAATTCTTTTACTCACACACTTTCATTAACACTAATAATACCTACCTTTATGTTGAATTTAAAGTCAAGAAGCCCTTATAAAGAAGACACTTCACAGAAAGTGTAATGTACTAAACTAGAATAGCAGACAAATTTTAAGTAGCTCTTTACAAATCCTTGATTTCTTTATTCCATCAAAACGAAGGTTGTGTCAATTTAATAAACCTATTGTAAAGTGTATTTATTCCACTCGACAAGTTTCAGGGTTGTTTCGATTGATTGCAAAGCAAACAAGTGTGCAGATTTTGAAAGAAACCGACGAGGCTAATCTCTATTTCTGATTTCCACTTGTACGCGCCCGTTAAAAATTACATCCATAGCGGTTTATATGGTAAAAATAAGTTCTTTAGACGTTAAACCTGCATTATTGCAAGCGTCTCGGTTCAGTCGATTTAACGTTAAACGTCTATACATAGTTGTATGCAATATAGAGATTGATGTTGATTGTCGTTCCCCGTTAAACATTAATTAAACGTGCGAAAGATTCGAGAAGATAGAAGGGATCGCAATCACGACTGGACGTTTGAGATATTAAATAATTGCGCTCTTGTCGGGTCCTTTATGGCTTTTCATACTTCAAATTCCATCACTATGAAACTGTGTTTTAACTTGTTTTATTGATTATTTCGTTACAACAGTGTCGAATTAAATATTTGCTATTGTGTTATAATGGCATTGTTATTTTCTTTTGTATGGGTGCATTTTCCTACGGCTAAAACTGTGCATTCTGGTACTCACCTTGTGTTTCTAACAAATGGCATCATTTTACCGAAAAATAAAGTTAGAGCGGAGTTGCCTGAATTTATTATCTAGTCTGCATCGCGGAATTCTCCTGATATTTCATTACTTTAAAATGAGTATCGCGTAAGAGCGCGCATTTTTTGTTGGGATTTTTTTATGTGACGCCGGCGTAAAGAAAATACAACCTGTTTCGTTGAAAAATTCATGTAACATTAATTCCGTACTGAAAATAAGCGATACATAATTTATCAGAATTTGAAACTACACTTTACGATGTAAATTGGATGGATAGTGAGCGAAGAAGAATATACAGGTTGTCTTGACAGGCGGGGTTTCGGATTTTTTTGTGTTTCAATTATTCAGAATTCATCGTGATGCGACAAATTTTCTCTTGAATTATAGATACTTTGTGTTAAGACTTGCGATTCTTCCGATGTTAATGCTGGTTTTGATTTTGCTATAGGTAAATTGTATTGATGGAAATTTAAATTGTAAATGTGTTCTTCTATTCGTAAATTTTAATAAGTAGGTACAATCGATGGCAACACAATATTCCTGTCGATTGCATCTACCGTAGGTAATTAGACATATTTTACTGATATATAATTTTTTCGTTTCAGATTGGAAACATTTGCAGTAGTTTTTTTAGCAGTGGTAAAAACCGTACTTAGCGATGATTTATTCAAATTACCGGCTTCGTTTACCGAGGTAGGCGACAGCCCCCAATTGGACGGTAAGTGCATTAGCATTACTACTATTTCCTACTTCCTAAAAATGCGCACTACCTATTGTTTAGTGCTTGAAAGATTCATTAACAAACTTCTGCTGTTCTTTTTGTCTTTTTAACTGGAATAACAAATGCGGATTTACCGGAATAATGCAGGAGCTAATGGTAAAAAAAGGGTAAATATTTTACGGTTAATTAAGTTAATTACGCAACGTCCGCGTCTATACCCACACCCGACTTTGCATTTTTTACGAACAACATTTCTAATTTACGAAATAGACGCCATTTTAATAGGATCGTAAAATGCTTTAATGGACTAGACAGAGCGGCCAAATAGACGTAATTTAATTTTAAATGATTCCGACCTATTTCTATCAAGAGACGGACATCAATCCGATGATATAATATACGGTAATAAACTAAAACAAAATTTTATAGGCGCTGCCGATATTGTGGTTAAAGCATTTGATATACGTAGCAATGCTTTTGATTAGAGTTAGAATATTTTAACATGCGTTCACTCGGATTAGATGAAGCAACAATAAAATACTTATGTATTTAATTAATCTAAAAGGCACGGCTAATAAAGCATGACAGAGGATTTTCAGAAGTCTCTATTATTAGCTAGATTTTGGAGCTGCTCCAATTTAGTTGTAATCTGGATTTTTGTAGTAAAATAGTCAGTCCTTTGGGAATCATACTAAATGCACAATCAGACTACAAGAATTGTATTTTGAATTTAAAATAAAAGAATCCTGTTTTGGACAACTTGGAAAAACGCACCGATTTCGACTATAAATAGAGCTGAAAACTGCCGTAAACAGATGCACCGACTGTGTGTTTATCTCTCAGTCGATCGCACTCTACGCCGAATTAAAACATGTTTTTGTATATGCATTAAATACGAAATTTTACCAGAAAATTGAATCCTTTGTGTTGTGAGCCGCAACCGCCGACGAATACGTCCGAACGTACGGGATAAAAAAAGTTTTTTTTCGCGAAACGAGGACGAGCCGATATGCGGAGCCAATCACTACAGGATAGAATTTATTAACTTCACAGCGAATATTTAAGAGAATCGAATAGGAACTTTGGATGCTTTTTACCAATGTGTGGTTAGCGATATCGATTCCCTCGGCATACATGTACTTACATCCACAAACAATTCTTTTACAAAGCTCTTTTTTAAACAAAACATTCAGTTAGAAAGTCAATTACTACTAAGAGATTGTACGTGATGAGAAAGTTCGATTCGTTTTTTGGGCCAGGCCGGCGCTGGCCTTCGACTGTACTAGTGCATCAGTTAAATTAAAAACGTGGCTTCAATAAAATCCTAGTTCTACATTCGGTTGAAAAAGCGCCGCAAAGCAATAAACACATTCATATTATGTTTTCAATGATTTCGTCGACCGTGAACCGAATGTGTATGCGGTGGAATCGCTCCGGAATCTCCGTGGAATTAGTTGTTTTATTATCCGTCTGAAGTTTACTTTACGCACATTGACTGCGAAATACGCTAAAAAAAACCGCCGAAACGGACGGAAAATCTTGTTAACACTAGAGATACCTATACGTTTTTAATTAACTAATTCATTTGTACACAAAGGAAAAAAATAATCCCCACTAAATCCGATTAGCCGTTTCTCAAACAACGTACTGCTAAATTACGTTATAAAAAATCACACTCGCCCCGGCGCTAATTTTATTAGGAAATTTCTCACGGCGGCGGCACCGAAAGACTTTTCCTGCTTGATATGCAACGCGATCGCAAATAATGGAAAGCTCGAAACGGGAAAAGAATGATCCGGTACTCGAATCCTGCTCCGGCAGTCGCGGCACGGCTCTGATCCAAATTAATTAATATCCCCGGTTGACGCCCGTCGTTGAGCCGTAGCCGTGTAACTGTCGTACACCGGTGTAAATAAAACATGAAAACGCCAACAGCTACACGAAACCATTTTCTTTCTCCACTTGGCTGTTGATTAATTTTAGTTAACCGCTAGGATGAATAATAGAATTCGAGTGTTTCGGGTACATCCGGGGATTCGCTGCGAGTTGGGTAAAACCGACAACAGCGCTTTTCCTGAATATTAATAAAAATATCCTGTTTAGGTATAGCCGAATGCCTAGACTTGTGTAATTAATTTATCGGTCAATTCTGCCCGTTGACAGATAGCTCTAGGTTAATGGCATGGGGCCGATATTAGCTGAACATATGGTAAAGGTAATTAACTAATTGCCCGTGGGTTCTGGGGATATTAATTCACTTAATGCGCGAGCAAACTTTAATTATTTTAATTTCGTCTATTTTGCACAACTTATGTTTATTTGTTTTTCGAGATTTAGCTCGTTCGAAACTTGTAAATTATGCAGTATGTTTTAAATTAAATTTCGATTTGTAAAACTATCTTAAAAAGCTTTGTTATTTCCAAAGGGTAGGTATACAAGAGACGTTTCTTGTTCCTTTAAACAGCGAAATAAGTCGAGAAACTTTTTTCCTATTGTTCAATTTAGGTAAAAATCCAATGTATTGCAGCTTCGTTACCGAGTTGAAAATGTCGTTTTCTTATTGCTCCTTTTGTTTCGTTATCTCTGGAATTGAAACGAACAATAACGAAAAACAAATGTCGGGTCCGAGGATACGTACTCTTACTTAAATGCTTTTATAAGTCCCGTTTCTAAAAAAAGCATAGAGATAAAGGGACTTCTTTAAACGGCAGATTTAAAGCTCTTTACGAAGTTTGTTGTTTTGATGTTTGCATTAATTCAAAGAAAGCCTTTCGAACATTTTAATATAATCCGGGTGAATGTAGGGAATACTTAGAATTATCTGCTACCAGAAATCTCTTTAAACCTTATCCTGAATGCCAGTGGCTTTATTAATTTTGTTCCATTATAGCATTATGTATAGGAAATCTAAAAATGTTACCTACCCCTTAAAGTTATACAAAACGACAAGATTATTAAAGTCACATCGTAGCTTTCTACAGATCTTTATGCACAATTCCTATCTTAAATCATTCATAATGAAGTCTACTCCACTGTGTATGAGCTACATAAACAGCACCGAACTGCATAGCATCTTTAGAAATATCTACGTTATTACGTGGAACTCCAACTTAATTAAACCCTCGAATTAATTTTCAAATTATTACTGCTAATTCTCGAAGATGTCGTATGGCCTTTTATTATTGGATCCAGTTCGTAAATAATTTCTAAACGAAATTAATACAATCACTCAATGTCACTCAGTACTATAGTTTTAATTTGTTTCATATTTAGAACCATTGAGCTCGCGTAGTGATTCGGGTAGTAAGAAGCTTTCGAAGATATAATATGAAGGTTTGACTTCAGATAATTCGCGATCGAAAACACGGAATTATTAACGAGTGCTCCATCAAAACTTCCTGGAAGCTTTTAAAGGTAAACTTCCCGGGGTTTTTCGAATTTGGAAATCTCAAATGAAGTTGGTCCGAATCAGGGCAAGCCGAAATCCGTGCGGATAGCAGCGAAGCTATACGCTTGGGTCCATTAGGAACATCTTGTAAATCACTGTCCATCTGGCGTATGAATGTGCCAGAACAAACCGAACTCGGGAATGTTACGGCGCGGCGGTTTTGCAGTTCCCTTACGTAATGTTGTTCCTATACAAACCGCTGCAAGATATTGTTAATTATTTCGGGTTTAGATATGCATGGCCGTATGCGAATGCCGGAACCGTGTCGTGCTCGTCGAAACGATTCCAGTAAATTTAATTTCCAACGGAGCCTGGTATTCCTGGATTCATGCCGGGTTTCGATAGAAAATATTTTCGGCGATTATTTAGCTTGAATTTGGAAATCGCGTAAACTTTAGCACTAGTTACGATAAAGTTTGATGTAACTAAATAGGTAGATACACGAAAACAACAATAAGTTGATATTTGTTTAGGAAAATTTTGCCTCATATATCCTCTATACAACCAGGATGAATATTCAGGATGCGTTGTTTGAGCTAACTAATTACAGCTATATGAAACTTGTTTAGAGCGAAACTAAACCAAAAAAAATAGGCGTGTTTTGCATCCGCTAAATACAGCAACTGGGGATATTGAGTATATCTGTGGGATATCGCTCATGCACCGCAGGATTGCGGTATATATATTTTTTTTGTTCCTCGCAATGGTTTATCCAACCAAAAGCCTACACGTACATCCCGGTTGGAGTTTAAATCTCGTCAGGTAAACTTCATTGTACCGCATTATCCAGTTAAAACACGTTTCAGTGGCTGTCGACTTAGACGCCGCGACGCAGGAAACAGAAGCATCCACCATCGCATTGTGATAGCGCAAACTTTCCAGTGACTTATCAATAAGTTTTCTTCGCGGCGAGACCGAGCGACAGAGAGAGAAACTGAAACTGAAACTAAATTATTAGACGCAAACTTACTTAGTTATAAGCCGATTTGATTATGGTGCTCTCCGCCACGCCTGCAATGAATTGCAAATTGTTCGTATAAAATAAGTTTGTTTGGGTAATAGAGTAACTCCCCGTTGTTGTCCTATGGGACTCGTTGAAGGCTTGTTGAATCGTCCTTTTTCGATTACGAAGTTTGTATTAGTTATTTCCTCCAGGTATATAGGTACACTAAGTTAACATCAATACTAATAAATAATGTTGTTAGTAAAATATTCGTAATTAACATAAATTTTATCAATCTTTTTTAGATGAATAGTTTCTAAGAAATTAATATTCGTCTTATTTATTGCAAGAATAGTTATTTAGAAAAAAGCTGTTAACTACCCAGGCAAAAAATGTAATTCAATTTATAAAGCTTTTTCGCTCCTTACTTAAAATTGTTTTCTTGATTAATTAAAACTCCGCATGCTGGAAAATTAAATCTTCCTCTTCGTTTAAAATTCAGATTTCCCGACGCGTCAGTTCCGCTTTATAAGTAAAAATTCCGCAATTTATCAACCACCTCCATAGTTCCCCCTTTTTATCGCAACTTTTAACTTATTATCCGAT